ATCTTGGCATCAACACATAGCAGATCGCCGGTTTCAAAGAAAAGCAACATCAAAGAAAAGCAAAGATAGAGAGAGTGCGAGGGTGTGCGATGCGTATTTATACACACATTCACACTCTCGCTTTCTCTTTCTCTTTCTCTCTCTCTGTAAATTGTGTTTGAAGATGGTGGATTTCGCTCGCGTATAGAAGAAGCTTCAGGAATGCAACAAAGACAACGATTTCTCGGGCATAAGCATCAAGCCTAAAGGCGACAATCTCACGCATTTGGCCGAAATGATTCCTGGTCCCCTCACTACTCCTTACGAAGGCGGCACTTTCAACATCGACATTATCTTGCCCGGTAATCTTTTCTTCTTCTTCTTTGTTTTCTTTCAATTTTTTTAGGGTTTTAGCGCTGATGATACATATATGTATATATGTTTGCAAAATTTGAGTCTGGAATTTAGTGTGAGGGTGTGCGATGCGTATTTTTAGTTCTATTCTGGTCAACTAAAAATTGTATATTTTTTGCTTCAATTTTAACCTTCTGTTAACATTTTGCTACTATAAGAGAATGGAAAAGTATTGGGCTGTGGCTCACCCTTTATGGGAACATCATTTTCAGGTTCAGTTGATAAGCTACCTCCACGGACTTAGCCTGGAAGGATTTGATGTTTGGGATTTTGAAGACTTGTCTTTAGTTATATGTTTTATTTTGTTATTTTTGAGATTTCATGTAAACATTCAAGCCTAGGGCTTAACTTGTAAATGAGTTAGTACTCATCCTTTTTGTGTCAAAGTGTTAGCTTGGAAAGATGTAAGCCCTTAGGGCATTTATTTTGATGTTGCAAGATGTTACATGTGATGTCTTTCAATAAGAATACTCTGATGACTAACTCAAATGATTCGTTTTCTTTTATAAATGCATGTTAATGTTATGGTTATTATGGGTTTATTTGTGGGCGTTACAGGAAATGTGTTGGAAAAATAGGTTTTAGAAATAGGAATAAGGGGTTTAATTTGAGGTAATGATTTGAAGTCTACATTTTGGTAGAAGGTAGTGCTTTACAATTTTGAGGACAGGCTGGGGTTATAGTACTTTAGGAACTAGGAGTAGGATGGAAAACTGTGGAATTGCTTTCAGTAGAAGGTAGTGCTTTCTACAATATTTAGGGCACTTTTGGAAATGCCGTCGTTTTTTTTTTTTTTTATGCCTTTTTTTTTTTTTTTTTTTTGTTATTAAAAACAGAAAAACCGGAAATTGACGCAAAAGAAATTGTTTGATAAACTATTTTTGGGAAAATCTTCTGGATTTTGAAAATGTTTTTGCATAATCATAAAGCCGTGTTTTCAAACTTTTTGTTTCTAATGACACAAAAAATTAAGACATCTAAAATGAAAATGGCACTAAACTTAGCCTGCTTTTCAAGAAAAGAAACTGATATTTTTAAGAGTGATTTTTGTTGATTTTTCTTACATTTTTATAAGAAATCGATCAGTTGATTTTTCTTAAACTTATACAGAGGTACACAAACGGCATGGGGCTGCTTTCTGCTACCCATAATAACTAATATCAGCAATGCCAATTCAAACTGTAAAGTTAGTCTGTTTGTATAGAGCTAGAGGTCACTTAATTTAAGCATGTATGCATGGTGTACTTATTTATTAAGGATGCCAATTGAAAATGAATATCCTATATCCATCCATTGGTATATCAATTAGTATACTAATAGATGGTGTGACATAATTTTAAAAATTTTAAATCTTTTTAATTTGTATAATAGGTGAGATTATAATTTTAAAATAATAATATCATAACATATATTTATATACTAATACCGTATTTGGTTATGGAATTTGACAAGAGATTTAAAAAATAAATAAATAAAATAAAATAAATATAAATAAAATCTAAATAATAAGGGAGAGTGGTTTTTGAAATCTGATGGGACTGTTATCCCTTTGTCAAAATGTGAACCCTTGGATTGATTCAATCCAACGGCTAAAAAATGTCCAAGACAAATTGAATCCTACGGTGAGTGGGTTTATTCTTCCCTTCCATCCATGGTGGGAATTTAAAAACTGTAGTCCTTTTAGTATTCCAACCACCAATTTAAAGCATCGAATTAGTTTTTAAATTCCAACCACCACCATATTTAAAGCATCGATGCTTTAAATACTAAAAGGATAATGAGAATCATCTTCTAAATCCAATTGATGGTATTCTCTAAATTCAGTTGATGAATTTACAGACAACAAATCCAGTTGATGGAATTTAGTAGGCACTTTTTGTTTTCGGTTTGATTTTGTGGAGAATTAAGAATTATCCCAATAATTTTTTAACTTGCTTTTGGATAATGGGAATCATCCAACTACCAATATTATTCTTCTCTTTATTTTTTTATGTGGTTATTTTTCTATGTGGGTTTTCTAAGTTTAGGCTTAAGTTGCAATGATGTTGTGTATATTTTTTCTTTGTTAGGAATAGACATAATTTCTTTGCTTGCATTTAGCTGAACCTTTCAGATTCACTTTTCTAAATTCTATACCTTTCAGATTCACTTTTCTAACACCTATAAAATTTTCATGACACATAAGCATTCAATTTTGCTATAGAATTGTTGGTTATCTTCTTCAACATTACCTTTGGTTAGGTAACTAATTGCAAATTTTGCTAGAAAGTTGTGGCGGTTGTTTTTTATGGTCAAATTTTAGATGTTCTGTAAAATGCCTCAATTAAAATAGTTTACTTTCTTATATAATTATACTTTTTTTGTTGTTCAAATAGTGAGTAAATCTATCAAGCCAAGTAAATGGCTAAACAACCTGTTAGTAATGGGCGCCCATGTGGCATGACCATTAAATTTGATTTTGAATCCTTATCCAAATAGGTTTTGATTTTGAAATCAAACCTATTTAGGATAACCACTCTTGAAACAGACTCAACGTTGTTTTTCTCTTAGATTACCCATAACCATATAACAAATATTTAATATATTATAATATCTATCCATATCAGTTAAGATACAGATAATTTCCTACAGAGAGTTTGATTAACCATGCTTGAATGCACTTAGTGCTGGTAATATGAATGTCCTAATTGATTAAAGTTATCTTATAGTTTATTCTACATTCCCTTCCCCCCTCCCCCACACACACAAAAAAAAATAGTGAGTGAATCCATCATAGTTTATTCTACATTCCCCCCAAACAGTGAATGATACATGCCTTGGATATTTGGTAAGATTAACAAAAATATAGGTATATTCAAATTGGTGAATCAATCAATGAGAGTTGGATCTTATTTTTAATAATAAACAGTGGGCAATTTTTAGGGAGTTGATTTTAGATAATGGATAATGAATAATGGAGATTGCTTGCTTATATTTTTTATTCTTCCTTTTGCTTCAGGTACATATGCCTTGGCTTGAAGGTGTGTTTGATTAGCGCATAAAAAGTTGTTATGGCTTTGTTTGCTACAATGGTTGATTAGGTAATTGGTCTGCCTTCCATTGATAGATTTGTCAATAATTTGTTGCTATTCTATTGTTTAACTTGCCTTCATTTTACATGTTGTGAAAATGAAGAATCTTAAATTTTTACTAGCTAGGCTTCATTTTATATGTTGGCTATCTTCTGGATTATTAGCTAGATGCAGTTTATGTTTTTTGTTCATAGACGGTAGAGAAACAAGAACCAAGAAAAGCGAATACTTGATTTTTTTATGCTAATAATTTGGGTCTTCTATTTTAATTTTTGAATTTCATACTATTTTGATGATAATCATTGTGATAATTTTTATTGTAATTTTAAAAATTAGCATTGTTTAGAATGCCTTTATGTTTGATTTTATTGTTTTTCAAAAACAAGATGTTTTAGTTTGTTTTGATTAGACTTGAAAAATTCAAGTTAGACAATGAATGGAAGTGTTGTGTGGGTCTATTAGTGAATGTTTCAAGAAATGGGGAGCAATGGCACAACGGCCTATTTAACAAGTAAGCCTTTTTTTTCCCCACAATTTTAGAAGTTTATTTATTGAGCTTCTTTTTATTGGAATTTTTCTTTTTGATAGGTGATTTTGGGGTTGGAAGAGAAATTTAGATTATATTGATTCAATAGAATAACTTTGCCTATTACTTTTTTTTACATCCTATAACTCTACCAGTGCTTATAATCAATTAAAATTTTAATTTTAAAACTTAGACACTGTAGGCACAATTGTATATTCATTTTAAAATAGATGTGACAAAAAAATGTGGTTATAATAAATTAAATTTTTGATTGGATGGGTTAGAGTCAAATTTTTTTCTTCTTCTTCCCTCAATAAGAAGCTTTTTACTTAATCATTGAATTGCTGTTTTCAGCATATACCACTCAACATTAAAGAAAATGTTTAGAATGGCTCTAACAAGAACCACAACAGCTTGTACTGTGTCAACCAGCAGAACCATTTAGTGCTGACAATGGTCCTGCGGAGAACAAAATGGACCCAATTAAAATCTAGAAAAAATAATCACTGACAGCTAGAATTTGCAAAGATCAAGGCAGTAACTAAAGTAATCATTTTATTAGTAAGTAATTACTCAACATATGCATCGAACAATTCCATTTTACTCTCTTTAATATTGCTCAGTGAAATAGCCCTGTAAGCGAGCGAATGACATAAACTTACTTTATGCTTGAAGCAGTTTAAACTTGCTTTATACTTTTAATTGGATGATTATGCATAATGGTACCTCATAAGTGAAGAAGAAGGTGGTTTCACTATCAACCCTTAATGTTTGTTTTAGCTATTCAAAAATAGGCACTTAAATAGCTTACAAAAGCCTAGGCCCAATTCAGACCAAGGTTTTTTTACATAGGCACTTAATATGGAAAGAAGGTTTTTGAATTTGTCTTACGTGGCAAGAAATTGTCTTAGTTAACAAGTGAAAGAATTAGCTGATAGAATTTTTATGCCCTTTTGAGGAGCCTTCTATTACCACTAGAATTAAGAAAGTGGAAAAAATGACACAAGCAATACAAATTTTCAATATAAATTTTTTTTAGTAGCTTTATCAAAAAATGGCATAAATTTTACAAATTTCAACATGATACGTATAAATTACAATTATGTTTTGATCTTAACATTAGGCACGGGCATACACTAATATATAGATATAGCTCACTCTCTTCTCTTTCCTCATTTCAATACACAGCTACACTACATCATCAGCAAATGGCTCTGTTTCTCTCTCTATGCTTTGTTTTGTTCATCTTCTCTCTAAATAGCATCCATGCTTCCGCAGCTCTTCCTCCTCTTCAACCACATCTTGATGGTAAGCACTGCCTCACTCCCTTTTACTTGCTTTATATACATCTCACGTTACATCTCTGTTTCTCTTTTTGGAAGAAATTGCTTGAATGTGATGTGGTTTAGTTCTGATTTGGTTTGTAAATCAACAAAGTTTTTTACTTTTTAGAATAACTCTGAACACTGCATTTCACTTAACAAAAGTATATATAAAATAATTTTACTTTTTAATTTTATCTCACAATTTTACCTAATATGTGTACTCCAACAACAATTGCTACTCATGAAATTAGTTTGCCTAGCTTTTAGAACTCTCTAAATGTAGTTATCCAAAAGGTGTGAGGCAAAACATAGATCCATTCTTGGTGAGTTTGGGACTAGCAAAATTAAAATAGAGTTTTTCCTTTTAGTATTTAAAAAAAAAAAAATTTGTGTACAAAAAATTTACTTTTCAAGTCAATCTACTATGTCTAAAAAAAAAAACAAACAAACAAAACAAAACAAAACAAAAAATTGAAAAAAATCTTCTAAAAGGTTCATTAAAAATAAAAAAAGTCTTTCGTTTTTTTTTTCCGTCTTAGTTGAATATAAAAATGTAATATTTTCTAAAAGACTACCTATAATTTTTCCTTTTTTATTTTGAAAATTTATGCTAGACTTGAGAGTATTTTGTTGCAATTTCTACTTATAAAACATAAATAAATTAAATAAGTTTAAAAAAATTGAACATAAAAATTGAAAGTTGAGAAATAAGTGCATTTTACCTTTAGTGCCCATTTCACAAAATAGGCACATTTCTCTTTCATGTTTATCCTAAATAGCATCCAAGTGGTAAACTCACATGAATATTATAAAATTTTATGTTCCACATTTATTTTAGTAGTTTACATGGATTTTAATGTATACTATTTGGGCGT